AACCCTAAACCCTTATTCCCCAAACCCTAAATCCCTAAACCCTAACCCCAAAACCCTAAATTCTAAACCCTAAAACCCTAAATCCTAAACCCTAAACCCCAAACCCTAAACCCTAAACCCTACATCCTAAACCTTAAACCCTCCAATAGATTCCAAAGTTCCCACTGCCACAGGCCGAGCTGACGGCTGATTGGGCTGCTGAGCCTGGCTCTGCCTCTTCGTGAAGTAGGAGATGATGAATCTCCTGTTTAGGGTTTGAGGCTCGAGATGATGAATCTCCTGTAACTAAGGGTTTAGGGTTTAGGGTTTAAGGGTTTTAGGGTGTAAGGTTTAGGGTTTAAGGTTTAGGGACTGACTATCGCAGCTAAAATCCATACGAAAAAAGCCCAACTATACCAGCATTCTTAAGTGTTAATTGAGAACTAAAGAGCCATCCGGAGCCAACCATTGAAGCATTACCTGTGGGTTTAAGGGCTTTGGGGTGTAGGGTTTAAGGGTTTAAGGGCTTATGGTTTATTTAGGGTTTGGGTTGTGGGAGCTTAAGGGTTTGGGTTTGAGGGTGTAGGGGGTTGGGGTTTTGGGGTCTAAGGGTTTAGTTAGGGGTTAGGGGTTTTAGGTTTTAAGGGTTTAGGGTTTCAGGGTTTAAGGGTTCAGGGCTTAGGGACAAGTTAGTATCGGTTCTGAAACGTTTCTAGGGTCAATATTTGGGGAACCTCGTTGGGGGGGAGAGGGGGGGGTGCCTATCATCAGTATCGTTGTAGATTGTGGTTCATATTGTTCCCCCAATTTTTGGAGACGACCATATAGGAGTTGGTATGGGTTAGGGTTTATAGGGTCTAGGGCTGAATCTTCAAGGGATTTGGGCTTGGGCCTAGGAGTTGGAAGCCTGTAGTTCTGGGAGCCCGAGAAGGGACAATAGTACCTATGCACCAAATTATGGGTTTAGGGTTTAGGGCTCATATGTGGGCTGTAGTTTTTGATATTGAGTTTGGGGCTGACTTTTGGGTGCCAGCCAACTGAAACCCTTCCTTGGATCTCTTGACGCGTAGAGTTTTGGATTTTGGCCTCTCCCAATGCAGCTTAGGGCGTAGGATTTAGAACCCAGGCCAAACGGATGAGTCTTCGAGTTTTTGGGCCAGGGTGTTGGGTCTGAGGATTTGGGCTTCAGGGTTTTGTAGCTTAGGGTTAGGGTTGGGTGGGAAAGGTTTTGGGGTGTAGGGTTTAGGAAAACCCTAAACCCTAAACACTGAACCCAAAACCCTAAAGTCAGAACTTAAATCCAGAATTGAAGAAGGACTTGCAGAGTTTCTGTACCGGCCGCCGGACTGGCAAAGGCAAAAGCCACGAATCCTTCCCCTCCCCCTTATACAAAAGGGTTCTACTAGGAACGCCCAACAGGGAACCCCAAGAATACAGTAGGAACATATATGTATATATATAATTGTACTATATTGAGGGGTTTATGCTTCGAGGTTGCGCGGTTGACTGTTACATCAAGGGGATTCGCGGGAGGACTTTAGTAATCCATCCGGGCCTCCCCCCCAAAATAATTGGAGAATCACATGGAACGTTAAGAAAGTAGTTCGTGCAGATTTTTCGGACAATTTTCTATATACTCGGGAACCCTTTTGGACTTCTGGATTCTTGATGAGTGCCCTTTAGTTGCACTAGTTCCGTGGAAGGTCCAAGATACCCGGTAACCCTGGCGACCCTGAGCCTCAAACCCGCATTTAGCACTTCAAGGGCTTAGGGTTTAGGGTTGGGGGACAACCCAAAAGGTGTAATGTACGGGCCAGGAAATAGAACAGGGTTTTTGGGCATGCCGGGTCATGTCAGATTTGCGAACTCCCGCTTTGGGGTCCCTATTGCTGCCGATTCAGGCAAGGTCAAGAGGACCCTCAAGTTTGAGACGTTGCGATGGTGCTGTATAACAGTAGGTTCCCCGTATACCCGAAAGGGACCCACAATTC